TGCATGCGTACATTCAATATCATTCTACGGTTTGGGCGGTACTGTTGCGTTAATTAAAATGTAATAACCTCTCTCCGTTGGGAAATATTAATATAAGGATTCGTATTTGATCGCGCCGGATACGAATATGAGAAGCGGAGCGGGCTATAATAAAAGAATTTCACGTTGCGGAATTACGAATATAATTATTACTAATTAGGCCGATATATATTAATTTGTTCGCCAATTATACGATGTAATAATCACAGCTATACCGGTAATATCACTCGTCTGCAGTCTGGGACAAACACGAAAGAGATATTTTTTCCGAGTAACTTCTGACTTTTGAAAAAGGGATACCGTGCCCTTGAGATGTTACGTTAGTTTACGCGTCTCTACCTTCGTCGATGGACCGATGCACATTGGTAGTAATGCCAAATGGTGCTCTCTTTACCGGGAGAGAAGGGGGAGGGGAGAAGGGAGGGAGAGGAACCAAGAGCGAAATGTCGAAACTGGGAAAGTTCGATCGTAAAAGGGTCGAGTGCTCTTGGTTGAACCAAGTCGTGAAACGGAAGGGAGGAGGAAGAAGGATCGCGTAAGCGAAGCACGAATCGAAGTTTGTAGCTACGGCGAACGGGTGGAAGGAAGGACGAAGGGGAAAGGGGACGAGCACGCGATTAGACGAGATTGAGAAAGTCCTTTGTCGTCGCACGGGATAAAACTTTTTCCTTCTTTTTTTCCGTCGCTCTGCTCTCGCACCCTCTTCCTTCATCTTTCACTCGCCCGATCTTTCACTCCCTTCGCAGCCTCTCCCTGTCTTCTTCCGCTCACGCCGCCTCCTGTTGCGCCCTTTATCCGTCCAATAGGATATCAGGCGACGTTCGTTACGACCACCAGAAAAAGAGTAGGAACAAATCCGCCTCATTGGCTGGCACTCGATGCAGAAGAAGCGGCTCGAATTTCTTGCCGATATTCCCATACCGGATCCCTTTGGGCTTTTCGTCGATGTAATGCCCGATGTATTCGAATGATGCCAAACAATCGACATCTATTACACATGTGTCATTTATATAAATTATTAAATTAAGAGGAAATTTAAATTATCATTTAAATTTATTCGAGGCGTATATATTATATATATTCAGGGCAGCGATAAAATAAAGTGATATTTTAGAGAAATATTGGATATATATATATAGCAACCGCAAGTAAATTTCTCAAAAGCAAACGCCAGTATATACGGCGCTGCTTAAACTATCTGGTCGAAATTTAACTTCGCAACTGCTTGCGCTCACTCCGGTGAATGTAAAGTCCGTTGAATATTACATGACGCGTCTATACAATAATTTACTTTCGCAAAATACTAACAAAATACCGAAATAAATAGCATAACCGCCTTTCGCATCGCGAGTCGCATCAGATAACTCTCCATTTTTAATATCTTTCGACGATCTTTTTAATCTGCGACACACCTGCAAAATCCGCGTCGCTGCCTCGTATTTGCGTCAACGCTCGAAAGCGAACTTTTGTCGGATTTGGTTTAAAAAAAAATCTTGGTTAAAAAAAATTCTAGATCACTCACAGATAGGGTTAGCGGTGTTCCATTCTGTATCCATCCACCCCCGACGGACGCGATGATGGCGCGTCGCGTGTGAACTGTGCTTAATCGTGAGATCGGCTCAACCCTTCGCCAGATGAAAACCGGGGCAGGGGCCACCTGCCCTGGATTACTCGGTACGACCATTATAAGCTTCGAGACAGTCAGCCGTTCTAGATCCTAGGCGAATTCTCGCACCAACGTGTACCCGTGCTTTTCTCACTAACCCTTAGAACCAACTTCATTTTAAGATGGCCAATTTTTAAAAGGGCCTCGTCTTTTCACTAGCAATTTACTGGAACCGGTTTCTCAACCTCTGCAATATTTTCTTGTAACAATTTACAAGGGTTGATTTTATATTTATTATACATCAGTGGCCAAGGACGAAACACAATACAGGCGAGAATCTGCCTTTTCGAAAAAGAAATTTTTTACGGTCGAAAAGGGTTTTTTATGGGAACCCTTTTTAACATTTTTATTTTTAGGCTACGGAGATATATAACTCTATTGTCGACATAGTGCAATTAAGAAAGATGTCAGAAAGTCAAATCTTTCGAAATTGAGCATTTTTTTTCTTTGTTATTGCAGGGTGTTTGTTGGACAGTTCGGCACCACGGGGCCCGCCTGATGTGCCACCCCGTAACCCCGCAATGAGCCGGCTTAACGGAAGATTGCCAGGAAGTCACGCAGCGAGCGATCACGAACGCGATCCTGATCTCGAGCCATCCTGTCTCGTACGCACCCCATCCGGTAACTTCTACAATATACCAAGTGAGTTCACAAGCAGGGATCGTTAAGTCTGATTTAGTAGAAAGGAAAAATGAGCGAGCAATCGCATAAATACGTGGGAAATGATTTTCCCCTTTTCCTCCGTCTACGAACGCCTTGGCTGATCTGAAACCAATTCATTCTTCACGTAACGAAAATTTTCACGACATCGTCGTTTTCATGTTTTCCAAAATTTTAAATACAAACATTTAAAAAAGTCAAATTATATATTATTTATTAAAAGCTTAACTGGTCAACCTTTTTTTATTTTTAATTACTTATAATTCGAAAATTATCAAGGACTCTGTATTTTTGTTAAAAAAAATTGTTAAAAAAAAACTGCAGATTAGTAAAGGAATCCGTAGACGATAATTCTGGTACTACTCGGTACATTTTCTCTTTCATCTTTGTCAAAAGCTTTGCGATCGCCATTACCTTAATTAAGGAATATTGACCCGAGAAAATTTTTTTTCATCTCTCTCTTTTTCTCTTCCTTTCTCTTTCTCTCTTTCATCTGGTCAGGTAGTCAGGTCATTGAAATGAAAGAGACTATTTCCATAACTGTCCTCGTATCTCTCTTTCTCTCTGTCTCTCTTTCTCTCTCGTTTCCCGAAGCATCAATTTGTTATCTCGTACATACACAAATGTAAAACTTCGATGCGATTAATAGTACCACGTGATAACAAATAGAAATATATAAAGAACGTAAATATAGATAAATATTTGCCGGGAAGGCAAACGCCCTCACAAGCGCAAGTATCCTATTGCAGCGTCTCGATGGGGATGTATCTCCCCGATAATGTCGGCGATGTTTACGCTAACTCGCCGAAAGAAGGCTTAGCAAAAGGACGACGGCGGATGACATCTTTGACGAGGGTATAGATCGTAATCAGTGGGGTAACCAATGAGGAGGTCAGTCAGAAAAGAAGGGGTGTCGATAATTTCCAGACTTTCCCTTTCGATCTCAGCGTATCTTATCATCCTTAGCCCCTTTAAAAAACGGAAACCACGCCACGTTACCTGATATGTTTCTTTTTTCCTACAAACTTTTCGTACGCTTTTGTCTGTTTGCCAAAGGATTCCGAAGGATCCTTTCGTTTTATCTTGGAAAAGCAAGGTACCTGATAATACCGGCAATGCTCGCGTGTTGCGCGTGAGAAAACGCGGGTTCTCGTGAAATAAAAGTTCGAAATAAAAGTCGAGACTTGTTGGAGTAGCTTCGAAATTAACTTGAATCTAACAGGCCGAACGATTCTCAAAATTTAGTCGCAGATTGGTTTGCGGATTGGAGAACAAATTGGTATGAGTCTGCTTGTGCCAACTCTTCTGCGAGTTCTTCAAACTTACATCTACATAGGCAAATTAATTACAAATTTAATTTAAAGGATCGTAACATGAAATAACACCGCATACCAGTAACTTTTTAGCAGGATAATAAAAAGGGATGTTTGAACTATTCCAGAAAATAATCGCAAGAATCGTGAGAAAATAATAAAAAAAATGCAATAGAAATTGCAAATGTGGATCGCAAAATTGGAATTGTTGGATCGCAAATTGTTTGAATGTAATTGTCTCGGTCGCAGTTGTATAATTTAAATTTAACTTGATTTCTTTAAAAAAATGCATAATAATGATAAATGAATAATGATTTCCATATGGGAGACAATGGCGAAATATGAACGCAATACCCGCGGTGTGTCGGCGAAGGAACGAATCCTCCGACGGTTTCACTTGTTCTCCGCCATACCATCGAGCACACTCGTGGAAAGAAAAGGGCGCCTTGCGGCGACATTTTTGCCGAGGTACTCCACCAACGCGTGGTATCGACTACAGAGAAAATAACGGCGAAACCTAAGCTTTTCTACGTATAAAGTCCCCCCCAGTCCACTCGGGAAGTGTCCAGCACAAATACCCCGGGCACCCGGTGACACGCTCCTTTTCTCTTGTTCGTCATAAAGATTTTTCAAATTCCATGGTTGGGCGCCGGGGTTGACTTTTCCTACGATGCGTCTCTCTGTGCACCCTGATGTTTTTCTAAAGCAAACGTGGAACGCTCCGAAGGTTCTCTCTTAAAATCCGTGGGATAGCTCGAACGGTGATTTACGATCCTTACGAACCTTCGTCTTATTGACTGTCCGGTTATGACACTGCCGTGACGCTTATGGCCGTCTGCATAATGCTCGACTTTATGCACAGTCGAGATCTTCCTTCCTACCAGTCTTGGCTTGTCCACGTAGCGGATGAATTTGCTCTCGTTTTTTGCTCGAATTTGTCAACTCAAGCTATTCGTGTCTGTGTTATAATTACGAGTCGCGTGGTTCAAGTGCAAATTGAAAAACTTTTATGTGCTGAAAAGGTTACGAGCTGTCTGTGGACTATATCCATATTTGCACCCAATAAATCCGTCCCTTTTATGGTTTTCTTTTTTTTCTTTTTTTTTTTTGAAAGTTTACGAGTTATCGCAGAACATTTCACGACTGCATTGGTATGTAATAAAAAAAAAAAAAACAAAGAAATGTTTTAATTCTTGAAATACTTTATCAAATCTTTTCTGCGAAATATTTTCTCTTTCAAATATTTAATACGTTTTGCTTGCCTTGCTCCTTTTGCATATTTTTTATGTCGCTTGAGAAAACTCGTCCTTTCTTAACCGAAATATATAGCTTAATAAACTATTGTGCAATCGGAAGAATTTTGACCCCACGAGTGACTCAACTGAATTCTAATCCGATGCGCGCTCACGTTTCAACCCTTCGTCGAAAGCATTCGTCGCGTGAGGATGCCTCTCGCGAGCGCATCCTCGGCGATAAATCATCAGGCAGGTCGCCAATTAGAATAAATTCTCACCGGCAAACCGCCGATTAGCAGATATTCCCCTTTAATTCGATTCCGGACGACAGGGGTCTCGTCGTCTCGTGCGCTTAAACATCCCGGGGAAAAATAAAAACGAGACAGACACCCTCCGGGCAGAGCGGGGCATCCCCCGAAATCACCGTAATCACCGATATCTGCTTAAATGGCATAATCACCGGGGATTTCGGGGCCGGAGCGGCAACACCTGCAATTAGCGATGGTGGGGTCAGCAGTTTCCTCGGCCGGGCCCTCTTCTCTTCCCACGCCCGCGTTTTACCGTTCACCGTGATGTGCCTAAAGGTGCGGGGAACGTTAGAGTTGGACGAGCTCTCCGTAAGAGGAAGACAAAGGGCGCTGAGGCAACCAGCTCCGGCCTCGCCCGCTTCGTATCGTATCGAGCGTGTCCCGAAAAAGGGTTTCGTGAAGCGGTCTCGAGACCGGTTAAGTGTCAAGAACAACAAAGCTCGAACTCGAATGCCGCTTGCACGTAAACGTGTAAAGTGGCTCATTAATATTCAAAACGCCGGAGCACTGCGTTTTAAATGCGCATCACGCTACCGCGCGACCGTATCTCGATGTGCGGAGAGGCAGAAAGAGAGAGAGAGAGAGAGAGAGAGAGAGAGAGAGAGAGAGAAGTACCTGAGTTAATTTCCAAAATTAATTCACAGCTTGTTTCAAATGTAAATACATTTCAGCTTGCTTATTTCTATTTTATCAGTTTATTATACTCGGATTTGAATATTTAATTCTGATTTTTTCCGCGATATTTCCCGCTGATCATGAATGTTACATGTCTTCCTTGCGGTTTGAAAATAAACGTAGAGAGGCGCGTTTCACCGGAGCGAATTATTTTGCGAATTATATCGTGACCCGACACTGGCCCAAATGTTTCAGTAGTGTATCGCGCGAGGCGTAATAGAATTCACGTTGCTCCGCCATTTCATTCGTCCGAAACTTGCATTCGAGATTCCCTCGATTGAGGATTAACGCGTTAATACCACTCGTGCATATTGTTACGATTGTGTGAGACCAGCACCATCCACCAATCGTCATCGCGACAACGTTCACGGCCGTTTTCCGAATCAAATATGCGGAATTGCGTATACCGGATGTACCGCCCCGAGATCGATACCTTCGGAAAACATCAAGGAAAAAAATGACAAAAGGAAAACTGCCCTGATTTCCACAGTATTATGCTAACAAATTAGTTTCCTGTCGGTCGGACGCTTTTTTGTCCTATGATTTCTCCTCGCCTTTGCGAAAGATCCCCTGTGGTCGCGGCGGTTTCCGAAAAACCGAGAAACGCACGCAGGTTTCTCTTTGCGCCTGTTTGAAATTCAAGCCGAAACCACGATGAATCATATACTTATCGATTCAACAGGGACCCCGCGACCGCCGCGCGCCGTGCCGTCCCTTCCTTCCGTCTGCTTCGCGCCTGTGGAAACCGCGCGGATGGAAAGACGTTCGCGTCTGGCATTCACAAAGAATCGCGTCTGGTCGTTCACCGAAGGGAAGGGGAGGAAAGCGCCTCGCGTTGAAAATGAAGAATCGACACTTCGTCGTAATTTATTTAACGGCCGAGCCACGCCTCGCGCTTCGCCAGCCTCCGCACGCTCGAGCGCTCCTAATTATACGTTCCGCGCGTAATCGGAAATGCCGCGTGAGGGTAAACGTAAAGGAGGGGTGTGATTATCCCGACGGATCGACGTCGGGTACTTTCAGGCTCCGTCAAACCGATGGAGATTCCACGTCAAGACGTAGTACGTACTGTCTATTAACTGTCTCTAACCTAATATCATTTACCCCCGGTAAATCAGTTATCTTGATATAGAGAGCGGCTAATCCCCCGAACGTGCAACTTTAAAAATTGAGAAATAACGTCGCCGCGCAAAACGCTCGGAGCACGTCGAAAAAGCTATCTTACCGTCAATTTCCGCGTATATTATGACACTTCCTGTATAATACGATTTCGTATGCATTACGTAAAATGTAAACTACACCGCGCTGAATTGCATTTACATTTTGGACGGCGGAAAAACTTGACGGGGCGCCTACGTTGTTTCCCACGAGAAATTTCGCCGATCTGTCAGACGCGAATATATATAACAAACTGTCTTCATTCGCCGTTTCTCTTCTCTTTTGCAGAGATACCGAAGAATGAATACAACAACAAGAATCAGTCCACGGGGAACAGTCCAATAAAGGTGGAACTGCAGAACAACATGGACAGGTAAGACCGTTTACCGCACAATACTTGTTCCGTTTGTGCGGCGAAGTGTCCCTGTGAGCGAATGAATCGAATCGCCGAGATGCGAGCGAGAAGAAAACTCGTGTTCCGAAAACCAAACGCGTGATCGAGGCGAGCGCAAACAGTGCCGCGCCGCGCCGTCGACTTCTGCTCCTCCGCTTCTTTCTTCGTGCCACTCGAGAGATCCTCATGAATCATCCATTCAGTTCACTCGCGTTCACAATGAGTCAATGTTTGAGCGTGGATTGTCAAGAAAGCAAGCTCCCCTCGCGTGACGTCGCGTGACGCTCGCCGTGGAAAATCGCCGGTCCTTTGGGTCCTTACGAGGCGCATTCGCCACAGATCCTCGAGGAAACGCGCGCCGCGCCGCTCAGTCGAAACTTGCAAAAAAAGCGACTGAGCGACGAGATTCGCGTCGTCGTATTTACGAAATCGGTAAACGAACTTCTTTCGGCCGCGGGTAGAAGAGGGAGGCACAACGGAATTTATGATAACGTACGCTACCCGGGGAGCGAACAGAGATTCGAGTTTCTCCGCTTTTACGATATGCAAATTTGTTAAATGGCATTAACGCTCGACTCGAAAGTTGAGAGCGAATCATTTTTAAGAGATTGAATGAAACGATATTGAAGTAATACGAAATGAGAAAACTAATTTGATAATAGTCGACGCTAATTCCCAGCTGGGGAATCCGAGAGTGCGGGATGATTTCTTTTTTACTTCGGTCTATTTTCGGACATTTGGAAATTTCTTGATATTTAAAGAAACATAAAAAATTACGAGAAACGACGATCTCCTATATTCTTTTTTATTCGCATAAAATTAACGTTTCGCTTACATCTATCAAAAATCAAAACAAAACGGAATATGTTAAAAATGTAAATGCCGCAAAACCGAAGGGCTTAACGTCCAAAACCGTAGGATATTTCAATATTGGACCTTTGTAACGAATAAGTCAAACATTCGGTTAAACATTTCGACATCGGCCTGTAAAATGGAGAATTCAGAGACCGGAAGTTTCACTCGGGGAACTCAAAATCGTCCGCTTTTATTTGGTTTGCGCGATAGAAAAAAAATGCGCGTCCAATCCGCGTAGAATCAACAGCGGGAGAGGAGGACCTGGTAGACGCGCCGCTTGTGTGGTTCTCCTTTTTTTTCATTATCACGCGGTGCAACGAAAGCAAACGTGCTTTCCCGCTCGCGCTTCAGAATCCGACGGTTGCGTTTAAATATTTTGGTTAGACATTTGTGAGTTACTTGGAAACGGCAACGGCAACGGCGGCGGCGGCGGCGGCAACGTTCAGTACAAACACACTCGAGGGCTGCTGCTTTTCCACGGGGGTATGTAACGAGCGAGAATACATTACGAGTTTCTCGAACGTCACGAGGGAGAGTGAGAGAGGGAGGGTGGAGAGGGGGAGAGAAGAGCGAGCTGAAACTCTACACTATACCTCGAAACTCCGAGAGTTCGGCCGAACGTGCTTGAAAATTGTACCGAGGTGCCGAATTCCTCGGCGATGTTTCTCTAATTACAACGGCGGCGCATCGAGAAATTATGCAACGCCGTGTAACGGGGATTCGGTGACGGAACGGCTATCTAACTTTTCGGATAAAACGACGGGATAAAGATTAATCTCTGATCGCTAATGAGCGGAGGGATAACGCGCGTGTTACGCGAATCCGTTACCGTTACATCGTGGCGGAAATTTACATGCGGCTGCTACAAATCGACCTTCATCGATTTTCAGAGTACCTTTACCTTACGGGCACGCCCCGTCGATGATCCCGATGAGGAGACAAAGCATCCGCTGTCATTTCCGCAAGGGAATCGATTGGTGCAGCTGGAAACTAATTGCCATAGTAGTAATTATGCTCTCGCTCTGCTTGACCGCGGCATTAACCTACGTCGCAGGTAATTATTCGCATATTGCATTCCGATCGATTGATCTTTCTTTGCCCTACAAAGTATCTATCGTTTATATACATTGAGCGCGTAATCTTAGCGTTCAATCTCGTTAGCAAAGCTCGTTAAGCGCGTCTATTTTTAAGCGACGGATGAATATTCGAGAGTGTTGTTTTTGAAAGAACTTTTTTTTCGAACGCGTTTCATCTTTCACGTATGTTTTTTAGATTTTTATGTTGTCTGTAAAATAACTGTCGAAACTTACGGAGTAATGTAAAAACTAACATAGCGTAATCTCTAATAAACTAACACCACCGGTCCAATCCTAATTGATCCCTTATTAAGCGTCCAATTTAGTGAACTGGTCGTACCAAGGCACGAAAGCGTGCACGGTCCTGGTGGGCGAGAACACCGATACCAAACCGTCGGCGGGCGAGGCGAACAAGACGTCCACGTCGTCCACGTCGACGTCGTCGCAGTCGAGCGGCAGGACGCGGCAGCAATCATCAGGAGGTAGTATGAGCACGTTGAATGGCGTATTGCTAGATGGTGTGTACAACCGCAAACGTAGGGACACGTTTAATGAGCATGCGTTGCACCAAACTGTCATACCATCACCCTCTCGCGACCCCGAGGAGCTGCCCTTGACCCCGACCACTATCGCCGAGACCGAGACCTCGGGGTCCGGGCAGCGGCCAGTCCCGTTGCATGTGGAGGACTCTCTCGGTAAGGTTTTGCATGATCCGGAGCATGCGGACGATCAAAGTCCAATGAGAGGAGCCATCGACCGCACGATCGCAGCTGCCGAGGACGTCAAGGACGCATCACCGGAATCACCGGGATCGACGGCTCCCTCGCGGGCGGTACAGCTTGTCGTGAATGTCTCTTCTACCGCTACTAACTACTACTCGCACGATCGTTCGACTCATACCACTGTCGCTGTCGACAATCTTGCCTCTTCGTCCTCTGTCTCTGTTGGCTCTGGCAATTCTCTCGCGTCAGCTTCCGTTCGCCAATTGCCCCGTAACGAGACGATGTTCGACACGACGCCGCGGCTTCTCGCCGAGTCGCCATACGACACTTCCTCGCGGCACACCCTCCCGAAACTCGGCCGCGATGACTCCGCGAATTTCGACCGCGATGTCGATAACGCCGGCACGTCCGAAAGTTCGGACGTTGCCGAAAGCAGCGACGATATCGGGGCTACGACGTCCGCATCCGGCGCGGAGTCCGTGAAACTTGGCACAGATACCGGCGATTACGGCCAAATAGTAGTCGACGGAACTGCAGAAATGGCAGTAACGTTTCTCCGTCGATTATGTAGACAGTAGCACCGTAGAACCGGCGACTGTAACCGAGACTGTACGCTCGAACGAGCCAACGGAGGGTCAACAATCGAACGTAAGTAATTCTGATTCAAGCGAAAAGTTAGCTCCCGTAGAAATAGACGCTCGGGAAGAAGTAGACGCTAGCGCAATTTCGCCTAGTTTAAACGTAGTAGATAACGAAACGGCGTTTGACACTCCGCCGAAGAAAGACGAGAACATCGAAAATCCTGTAGAAGATACGATTGTTGACGATGGGTTCGAGGAGAAAATCGATTCGGATGAAAATGATAGTCCGGCTATCTCTGCGAAAAAAGATGATATCTCGAAGATGGCAGATACGGCCGCGGAATTAGAAGTGAAGTCCGAGACATCTGGTATTGTGAAAGAAACGCAGGAGCTGTCCCGAGAATATTCGTCTTCCGAATCCGAAGTTCCATCCGGTATTGTTAAAAGTTCCGAACAGTCCGACGAACCTCAACGTGACTATCCTGTGCCGATTTATAGCTACGGGCAGGACGAGGTAGAGATTGTCAACCTCCAACACAAGAAGCGACCTATCGACAGCGCGAAAGCGGATCATCCGATTGTATCCGATTCCATGATTCTTAGCGATAAAAAGATGAATATCGCTTTCCGGACGGAACGAGATAAAGATGACTTACGGATCATCGCGAGGGAAAAGAGCGACGAAGAATTTCTTCGAAAATTCAAAGAGCAATTCCACGAGTCTTCGGCCGATGCTGACGAATCTGTAGAGGACTCCCCTTCGATTAAGACTAATTATAACTTACCCCCAATGGACATCCCGCATAAAATGGGCACCCCGCATGATTCATCGGGCAACGCATCACCCAGGTTTCCCTCTCGGTTCGACTCACCGATGACCCAACGTGTGCATATCGTAGAGGTACCCGTGTACCGTGACGGTGCTTCAGGCCAATCTTCCTCGTCCTCTTCATTCTCATCGTCATCGTCACCGCACCGAGTGATCATAAACGTAACGATCTCCGCCGAGGACTCGTCCGCTGTTTCCTCGAGGCCGTTGTACGTCCTGTCGGTGTCGGTGCCGACGGAGGGCGACGCGATTAGCCGCTCATCCGGGATTAACGTCGATCAGGCGCAGGTGCACACGGCCGAGCGGCTATCGGAGCCATCCGCAGCGAGCATGAAAAAAATCCCTGCTAACGACGGCGAGTCGATTGACGCGGTTGATACGCGATTACCGCCACCGCCGCAGCCACCTGCCTCGCCACCGGCGCCGATCTGGGCCGGGGGCGAGTGCGAGTGCTCCTGCCCCTGCATGGGTTCGTCCTCTGATGAGTGGGACAACTTTTCAGCGATCGACGAGGAGGAGTTCGAGAGCGTTAATTCTACTCTGTTAGTCGAGAATTCCCCCGAGGAGTTAGGGGAAAGACCGAGGGATAAGAAAACAGGGGACGAGCCATCCGCGAACGATTCGGTAAGGCCCGACGCGAGTTCCACCACCGAAAACTATCATTCCTCCTCGATAGATGACACTGCGAAGAGTAACGAATCAACCAACGAGACCTCCACTTCGATTTATGAACCGGAAGTAAGCACCGACGTATGTTCTGGGAGCACTTCGCTACCTCCAGAGCCCACTATACTGATTCTCGAAGGTGAGGCCCCGTTTTCTCTCTTTTTCTAATTCTTTAACTTTTCCTTTCCAAATCACTTATTCTCTTCCGATAGATTTCTTTCTATCTTCCCGTCTTTGCTGATGCTCACTTCTTTGCTTGTCGTTTCACTCGTGGATTGGTCAAACACGAGTTTATGTTGATTTGCCTGTACTATTGTAGTCATTGTAATGTGTTTTATGGTAATGGGTAGTGTAATTTACGTAGATTATAATGATGACGTAGTTGTAAGCCATCGTTAAAAATTAATCAATTTTTGTAAGGAATTTTTGTTGCGATTAAGTAACTGTTGACGATTATAATCGGCAACAATCATTTTCAAAAAAAAAAAAAAATAATTGTCGCAGTCCCGTAAAATAATGATACTAAAACGAATCGGCGGTTCGTTTGAACATGAAGAAAAAAAGACGTCCACGAAAACGCCGATATGCATGAGCATCTATACCTAGACTCCAGAATATTTTACTTTTAAGAATGAATTCTCACGCCTGTCGGATAATGTAATCAATTTCACGTAATCGAATACTAATTTTGATTATTTCTTTTAAAACCAATTGTTCGATACAAGCTGAGCTGCAATTTAGGCAGTTTAGGTCATTTTCTGACCGATAACGCAATTAATTATACTAAAATTACTAATGACGATTCAGATTTACATTATCCAACAGAAATTCGCGTTCCACTTTTGACCATGACCCATGTCTGCAGGTGCGCGAACCTTCCCGGCGAGGTCTTTCCCGCCCGATGGGACGACCTTCGCACAGGTCGGCTTGGGGCAAAAGCTGAGCAAGGAGATACCGCCGTATGGCTACTGGAACATGCAGTTTTACCAATCGGAAGCCGCCTACGTCCGTTTCGACTACAGCATCCCGCGCGGTGCGAGCATCGGCGTGTACGCGAGAAGGAACGCGCTTCCCACGCACACGCAGTACGACCTACTGGAAGTTCTCAGCGGTTTCAAGGCTCGGACCACCAGGGCGTCCCATGTTAGTGTTATTGTATGTGCCGCTGTCCCATTTTTTATTTATCTTTCTTGCCGACAGATCTCGCGAATAGAGAGTAGATATTTTTTTTTTTCTTTTTTTATTCTCCCCCTATTCGACGTCGAATGTATACGTGACCGGGTCAGGCATGATGATTTAACTTTTTTTTTTTCCGACCACTTTTGCAGCCTTCGATCAAGAAAGAGGTAACGCAATATATGGAACCGGGACATTGGTTTCTTTCGCTTTATAACGACGATGGAGATCCTCATGAAGTGTCGTTCATTGCTGTCATCGCCGAGGATATGACGCACAATTGTCCAAACGGATGCAGCGGCAAAGGCGAGTGTCTGTTAGGTCACTGTCAGTGTAATCCTGGTTTTGGCGGTGAAGATTGCAGCGAGAGTGTCTGCCCCGTTCTTTGCAGTCAAAGAGGTGAGTTTGTACTGGCGAAAAATATCTCTGTCGATAGTCTTAATTGATAATAGCTTTTATTTCAGTTGTGTCATTTAAAAAAAATTTTATTTGTACACACACACACACACACACACACACACGCGCGCGCGCGCGCGCGCATACGTATTATGTAAAATTATTACTGTAGAAATATTGAGAAATCTGCGATAATAGAATTCAACCGTTTGGTTAAAATAACATTAAATTGAAATCCGTATTGGAATTTTAATAAACTTCAAAAATCGGTTATTGGTTACGGGTTTGATTAAAATCCTATTGAAATAGAAAGAAATAACGATTGGTAGGTTTTTTAAACGATTAAAAAAAACCAAGTCCGCGCGGCTTCGTTTATTGATTTCTTTTAAATAGAAATCAAAGCCGATTACGTTTCACTCGTTTCAGTATTGCACTTTTGCAAATACTCGCGATACATGTTAATTTCCTGGTGCTTGGTGCATCAATTTCTCCCTCGGTGCTCTCGCGAAACGATATACAGACGTATTTATTTGCTGTAAATAAAATGTAGTGTGTAATTTAATTCTCAAGCGAAGTACAATAATAATACAATATACTTTTGTGACTTGACGATCTAATAAATTGTGAAATACAACAAATGTTTTCGATCCAATAAAATTGACAAGTACATCGTGCTTTGAAAGTTTCCATCCGAAATCAATTTTGAGAATCTTTGCGCACCAAATAAATAATTCTCATTCGCACATCTCGTCAACAAATAATCTCATGCCGATTTAGGTGAGTACATAAACGGCGAGTGCCAATGTAATCCCGGCTGGAAGGGCAAGGAATGCTCTCTGCGACACGACGAATGCGAAGTACCCGATTGCAACGGCCACGGTCATTGTACCAATGGCAAATGCAACTGTGTGCGCGGCTACAAGGGAAAATACTGCGAGGAGGTCGACTGTCCGCATCCAACTTGCTCGGGTCACGGTTTCTGCGCCGAAGGCACGTGCATCTGTAAAAAGGGCTGGAAAGGAGCCGACTGCAGTCAAATGGATAAGGAGGCATTGCAGTGTTTGCCGGACTGCAGCGGTCACGGGAACTTTGATCTAGATACTCAGACTTGTGTTTGCGAGCCCATGTGGTCCGGTGACGATTGCTCGAAAGGTGAGTGAATAAATCCCATAAACGTAATATTTCAAAAAATTGTACGATAACTTACCCGTGAGTATCGTCGTTTTTAACTCGGGAAAGGATTAAAAATAGAAAAGAATTAAAAATACAAAAAATTGCTAACTTTCTTTAAACGAATAATTTTATCCCTTGACATTTACCGCGTATTTATAGATTCTCCTCAAAACTGTAACAGATATGTTGAAGTTAAAGATATTGACAAAGATATCCATATCTGTCTATAACATTACTTTAAAATGACAGAATGAAATGACAGAAAGTGTGATATAAAGTTGGATTGAGAATATCGATCGATTACGTTTGTAATTTCGGTGAATTGACGATTCTTATGTTTCCAGGTTTCTGGGTGGCGGCAGAACTTATAAAGTAATTCTTACGAGACTTTTTTGATTAACTGTCCACTTTTCTAAATCCCCTTTTCTCATAGCTTCGTTTACTTATCGGACGATCATTGCTTTGCTTCTGAGTGTCCGCTTCGAGACTAACATACTATTCCGCGGAATTTCGAAGAACCGTTTTCAGTCTCTCGCTTCGTCATGTTTCAGAACTGTGCGATCTTGATTGCGGTCCTCACGGGCACTGCGTCGACAATGCATGCGACTGCTTGCCAGGCTGGTCCGGCGAATTGTGTAATCTGAAGCAATGCGATCCCCGCTGCAACGAGCACGGACAATGCAAGAACGGCACGTGTCTATGCGTCACCGGATGGAACGGAAAACACTGCACGATGGAGGGCTGTCCGAATTCCTGTTCCGGTCATGGACAGTGTAGGGTGTCGAATGACGCGCAGTGGGAGTGCCAGTGCTATGACGGTTGGGACGGCAAGGATTGCAGTGTGCTCTTAGAACAAAATTGCAATGATGGACGAGACAACGATAAAGGTATAATATTTAAATGTAAATTTCATTATATTAATTGTATATAAAAATAAGTATATAAAAATAAGATTTTCATATTACATATTATGTAATATTTCTTAAATATAAACTATTAAATAATACATTGATACATTGACTCAGCCGAGTACACATTAATAAACAACAGCAAATAACATAGCCGGTTTTTTCGGCAAGCAGGATCTTGATTGCTAAATCTTTTGTATGAAATAAATTCAAATAATCATATCACCAACTACGTGCTACTAGATTAGCAGACTCAACGTAATGGTTCTATAATAATTCGATAATCAAATATTTTTGATATCAATTAAAATCCCTTTTATTATTCTCCCTACTAGAATTATATATTACGAAAAATATCACCTCAACCAAGGATCGAACCTGGATCGTCTGCTCTTCCGGCAGGCATCTGTTTTATTCATTAGACCATTGAGATTATCGTAATATTTATCGTATTTATCGTATTTATCAATACTTAGATAAATAATGTGTCGAACGTCTTTTCCCGGCACGTGAGAATAAACAATACATTGATACCAGCCGAGTACATGTTAACAACAGCAAGTAACATAGCCGATTTTTTTGGCAAGCAGGATTTTGCTAAATCTTTTGTATGAAATGAATTTACTGTATGTAATATTTATTTAATTTTTAATTTGAACATTAGGAAAAAGAGAAGAATTGAAATAACATTTGAATTACATTTTAGATTTTTGTATCTGTGTTTGAAATATTTATATTTAGGAAATTTGATCAAAATAAAGCACAAGAAGATGTATTAATAAGTTTGTCTTTCTTACAACTTTAATGGAAAATAATGTGTATTTTAGATGGTCTCATTGATTGCGCCGATCCGGAATGTTGCTCCAATCACATATGCCGTACCAGCCAGCTGTGCGTCTCAGCACCTAAGCCAATCGATATATTGCTACGGAAACAGCCACCCGCCATCACCGCATCCTTCTTCGAGAGAATGAAGTTCCTAATCGACGAGGGCAGTCTGCAGAACTACGCTCGTCAGGAGACCTTCAACGAGAGGTAAGTTCGCCGTCGATCGTCGCGAGACTTTCCCCTTTCGTCCTTGCGACCAATGTCGTCGTCATAGTCCTCGTCGTTACCGCGTTGAAATCGTTAGCGAAAATTGTCCGTCCCGATGTCGATGTTGCGTCTACAGTCTGCGTGTCTCTAAGTAAAAAAAAGTAAAATAGGAAACTCTCAACACATGCGCGATTACGAAAAAAAAAAATGGCAGCATTAAAATAGGAACACATTAACTATTGACGCTATACAGGATGTCACGAGTTCACCATATTTTCTTTCACATACGGATTTCTTGAATATAAAGTGAATATTCCTTTGTAAAAAGACCGCTATTTTTCAAAAAATTCTCTTTTTATGACGATTATAAATCTCAAAATAATATTCTAACTGACACAAAATCCATTAAAAATATTATCGAAGAGGTAAGATTTCATTATTTAATTTGATTCTTAAAGCTTCTAAAACTTTCCAGATTTCCAATAGAATTTACAATTCAGAAACTATCGGTGTCTCGACATCATTATTAAGGTCACATGTATTTCAAATTAGGCAAAGGATCCGTATGGCAAAGGAAGTGCATTGGGGACCTATGTAAAGAGCCTGTATAGAGCGTAAATCGCGAAGGTCGAGAAAGTTGCATGCTCGATGGAACGACTAAAGGTTATTAATAATACGAATATACGGTCCCTTTGACTCGAGCCGGGAACCGAATCGGTTGAAAGATTAGTCGGGTAAAGCCGATCGATCTCTATTTTTAACTAAACGGGAAGAAGCGCGCGCACACAGAGAGAAGGGTCCCAGCTCTCTCGTAGGGACCCGGTAATCTTTAGCTGCCTCTACGCGCATATTACAAGATACACGCATACCCCTGTATACATCTCTCTCTCAGTACACGTGTATTATCGACAGTACAGACACGAGGATGCATATACATAGATTTCAATATATTATATCTGCGTTGTTGTGACCCGTGTGAAATCACATCCCAACAGTTTTCTACATATGTTTTGTACATACGTGTGCGCGAGCGTGTGCCCTGCACTAAACCCGCCCCCGGACCCCTGGCCCTCGTCTCCATCAATCTGTCTCTCTTTCATTCTCTTTCTCTGTCTCTACCCCGATCTTCATCGCAGTCCCTTACGATCTATCTATCGGTATATCAATCCAACCACCCGTTCTTTCTCTTTCTCTCTTTCTCATGTCCGTCCGAGTGGAGCTTGCGTGAATGTGTGAGTCCATGTTTAAGCCTCGAGCTTTTCGCTCATCATGCCGGCTAAGGGGGTGGGAAGGGGATACAATAACCGGACAATTTTTTCTCCCCGACGCGTCGGGTCCATTGGAAGGGACCGGCAAATTCTAGTAATCCGGAGACGCGACGTATCGAAATTCTTCGTAAAAGCGGAAAGTTTTCCTCAGACTCTTCTATATTTTCATCCCTGCCTCTGGAAATTCTTTGATACTTTTTTTTTCTTCTCTCTCTCTCCCTTTCTCTCGACCCACGTCCCCGATCCCGCATCCTCCTCTTTCTCTTTTCGCCTTTAATCGCATCATTTTAACTCGGCTCTGTTTTATCCGTGCTGCCCGGTCAGTATGTTCTGGAATCACTTCAACACAAGGTAAGAAAACCAGACGTCAAGCTCGACTAAATGAAACGAGGATCCGTAATAAGATCCATCGTAGCAGTAATAAAGAATCTGCTGCTGTTTGATAATATTTTCGTGCATTTGGTATCTCTCACGTATGTGTACATAAAAATACATCCTGCATCCTGATCACGACGAGCCGTGCGTGTGTGCGTTCGACTGCGCTTGAGAAGCCTGACCTCTCTCGATTTGAAATCGAATCATAGCAGGTCTCCTTGGATCATGTACTTCTGCATTTTGTGTTTGTAGTATCGTTCCCAAGATGATAAAAGGACCTAATCGAATTACGAGCATCAGAAGAGAACAACTCTTTCTCTCGCTAATGCTGACGACATTTATGTTCTTTTATCGATCTGAGAACAATGGGATGCTACAGAAAATCAACGAATTGCGCGGTCCACGATCTAAGAGTCTCGATCTTGACAGTTGGAACACATTCCACGATCGTTCGAGCTCACACTTTGTCCTCCGTTATTGTTGAACACATTCTCGTGTTGCATGGTTCAGTTACCTTTTGATTCCTACGTTGTGTTTCGTGCCTTTTACGTTGAGCTTCCGACTTTGTGTTATTTGTGTATATATACATATATATATATATATATATAAAATATATATAAATATATTGACTATACGTATATAAGTAGTGTGATTTGTCCTCGTACCATTATGCTCCAGTGCCAAAGAGGCACGGATTGTTGAAGATTCGACTGTCGTACACTGTATTCTGTTGGTTTTTCAACCAATTATAGGCAATTATAATCTGACAGAGAGATCCGAGAAAATCATCCGAAATATTTCAATACAAGGAAAAAAGAGAAATATAGCGATCACCGTTGTTCGTGGAGCAGACGGTCCAAGAGTCGAATAGTTCCTCTTTAGCACTGAGAAGCAAAACTGACGAAAGTACATCGCGTTGAATATTTAATCTGCATACGCGATTGGCGATTAATGCTCTATATTGAGATTCTTATTAACCGGCGAAAGGATTCTGTCACATATAAATGGACACACATTATCCTCCGATGCAAATTTACCCTCGATTGCCCATATCTTTTAAGACGCCTGGGAAGAAAGCGCAATGGGCGTTTAATTATAGTGATTCCCCCCATCACACAGATATCGACCCATCGATGATAATTATG